AAGAAGAAGAAGAAGAAGAAGAAGAAGAAGAAGAAGAAGAAGAAGTTGAAGAAGAAGTTGAAGAAGAAGAAGAAGAAGAAGAAGAAGAAGAAGAAGAAGAAGAAGAAGAACTTGAAGAAGAACTTGAAGAAGAACTTGAAGAAGAAGTTGAAGAAGAAGAAGAAGAAGAAGAAGAAGAAGAAGAAGAAGAACTTGAAGAAGAACTTGAAGAAGAAGAAGAAGAAGAAGAAGAAGAAGAAGAAGAAGAAGAAGAAGAAGAAGATATTGTGTCCCTTTAGTTTTATATTAATTAATTAATGCACATTTATTTTATTTCTTGTGCATATTTAAATAATACATCATGCATATTTAAGTTATAAATAACGCATACTTAATTAAAAACAAGAAATTCATATTTAGTTTATTTATAGTGTATATTTGTTATATTTATATTAAAGATATACATGATGGATATTTAGTTCATACGATATGCATATTTAGTTCATCCATAGTGCATATATGTTTTAATTAATTAAATATATAATGATGCATATTTAGTTAATTTCATGATGCATATTTAATGCATATATCATGTATTTTAGTTAATACGAAATGCATATTTATTTTTTTAATTTAATTTTTTTGCCGAAATGATAGGAAATATTATAAATCAAATGCACAAATGTGCGAATTACACGACCCCTATCTGAATGATAACAATCTACAACTGAAAAAGTGGGAGGACAGGTCAAGAGACCGTCTAGAATCCCGACTCCCACACAAACTACACTAACCAACTACACCAACAACAAAAGAAACTACTAAACAAAAAATCTCATCGGGATAATACCCGAGTGTCCGATCTAACTGGATAATAATTTGACACTTGGACTCACAGAGGCCAACTGGCCCAAACCATATACACAGTCAACTAAACAACAACAACACAAACACAGACGGCACACCAATAGGAAAACTAAACACAGAAACATAAATACACACATTTATTATATTTGAATTAAATATATACATATGCATATTTAGACTATTAATGATGCATATTTAGTTCACTGATGATGTATATTTACTTTATACATAATGCACATTAAGGTCAACGGATCTTGCTATAAGTCAACGGTCAACGCCAAGTCGACGGTCAAAATAGTATTTAAATTATAAAAATAAAGAATTTAAAAAATAAAGAATTATTATTTAAATAAATTGTTAAATCTTTGCGCACATCTTGATACCCATTTTGTTGATGTCGAAAATCGGACAATTAAACCATCAAATAAAAGTTGAATTTCTTGAATGAAATATGAAGAAGAAGTGATAAAAATGGAGTTTTCTCTTATTTCTTTTTTAGAGAGTTTTCTTTTCTTTTCATTTGTGTTGTTGGGAGGAGAAGGAAAAAATGAATAATAATCCCCTTCTCTCAACTCCTTTTACATACATCTACATGCTCCACTATCCTGCAAGTGAATAATTAAATAAACAAA